GGGTCTACCACCTCTTTATGATAATGTGCTCAACTGTGCATGAAATCAATGTTAAAATATGCAAATTTTTATGTACGCGACAATTTCAATTTAACGTTTTCTCTTTTCTTTGAAAATCTTTTAAAAAGGAAGAAAAGAGGATAAGAAAAGTTAAAACGATAGCTTGAATTTTCGCTTTTTTTTTTTTTTTTTTTTTTTTTGGTATAAAACGCCTACCGTCAAAAATTACTCTCCGAAGGATCGTTAACAAGGATATAAAAGCAGTTTTGGTTTACTTTACTTATAAATTATAGGAAAATAAGAACAAGAATTTCATATGAGAGAAAGTATAAGAGTTTAAGAATTGTATGGAATTTTTTTTTTTTGATAAAGAAAGTAAAGAAAGAAAGGTTTGGTTTCAAATGTAAATAAACTCTAAACGTCTGAAGTAAACCTATAAAAAATGACATATAATAGATCAAATTTACTTAGCAATCAGTAAAGTTCACAATTTATTATACTTTTCTTCTAGTTTAAAAGCGATGGCCACTCTTACCATCATGGTGGCTGTTTCGCATTAATATTCGACCAGATAATCAACTAAAAATCGAAACTATTTCCTATATTCGCAGCTAGACAGAGAAGAGCTGCATATATATTTTTTGGGATGGGACGTAGGGAGGCCTCATATCAGACTTTATAAGTTATTGGCGTTTAGGCGTTAAGCAATGGCATAAGTTAATCAGTTATCACTATACTCGTCGAATTGAATTTTTAACTAAACAGACACTAAGACATTTTTACAGCCTACTCGGTTATGTGATATAACATATATCTCTGCAATAAGAAGCATTATACTCTACGAAATCTTAAACTGTACCCCTGCATCCAATATAGAAGAAAAATTCGCAAGAGCTACTTTCCTTAAACTCTTTCATTTATTGATCAGTCAATAGCGTATCGCAAAAATTTTTCCTATACTCGAGCTTTCAAGAATTATTACAGGGAGTCATTTGCGTCTTCACGCTGTAATTATAAAGAACAGATTACCTGTAAGGAAATGAAAGACGACTTTGTACGTTAGTTCCCTTTTATTGTTTATTTCATTAGTTAGCGGGGCGTCCTTACAGTCTTCAGAGCATAAAAATAATAATAATAAAGTTCATAAACGTTTCCACGTGAATGATCTTCCACGCGTTCTATCATCTAGCATTTTTGTTCACAGATAATGAAAAATATTTGAAAAGATAGGGAAAATGCCCCTTAGGCAGTAAAATTAATTCGATCGTTCTGACTTAGCAGAAATGCGTTCGGATAACGAAAAGCCAAAAAAGTCAATGAAATCAGTTTACTTAAAAACAATTCTCTCAGCCCCTAACTGATGCAGACTTAACACAATAAAATGCATTTGCCTAGTGCATCATGCAAAATATTTTTTCTATTATTTACGTACAGGGAAACCATATTTTGACATTTGAGTGCATGATGCACGATGCAAATGCATCCATCACTTATTCACTTCATACGACATGATATTATTATATTTCCTTTAAGTGAAGCCTAAAATCCTATGCGACTCGTCGTTCTTCACTTTCCTAAATTTTCTAAATAGTCTATGGGAGAAATAGTATTCAAGAACTAAAGGCGGAATATTTCTTTTGGTTGTTCTTTTCCTTTCTTATGTTTCAGGATCAACGACGCGTTACTGAATATTTCCTGTTCGTGTACATAGTAGCGGTTAGAAATGAATTCGAGGAGAGTGTATAAGGGTATGAGAGTAGCCTGGATAGTGTGCGCCTGATCGCCATATATGGACGCTACCACGAAACGCAGTCTCTTACATGGAGAGAAAGTCTAACCTTCCAATTTTATCTACTAGACTACGCATTCGCCTCATCTTACTACAACGAAATCCAGAGCATTGCTCATCAAAAATAACGTCGCTCGATAATAAATTAGCGCGAATATACTCGTAGCAAAAGCTATTGTCAATAGCTTCAAATTACCTGACATTGTAGATCGGACAAATTAATCAAATTCCATAGTCCCCAGTTTGCAGATACTATAGATGTAAAATGAGAGAAATAGAAAAACTTTATCTCTCTTTAAGGAAGTTGCACATCTAAAAGTGTAACCTGGCCATTGTCTCAGATTATCTGAACCATGTTCCACTGCACTTCTCCATTAATGAATCTATCGTGGAGTCTATCGTGTCCAATTTCTCAATATGTACTTTTTACGTTAAATATAAAATCAGTCTCTTTTATCTTATCATACTGTATACATATATTTATAATTTTTGTTGTTTTTGTTTTGGATATTTTGTACTTGCATATGGAATGACTACAATTTTTAGGTGATTATTTATTTAATAACATAAGATTCTATATCCCTTCCATTTTGGATATCATGGAAAACCGATTTAAAATTTATGCATGTTCATATGATATGTAAATGTGTTCAACATTGTACAGACCGCTTGCATATGGTATATATATCCGGTAACTTAGAAACGTTCAAATCTTTACAAAAACTCAGTAAACGGAAAGAACAACAAGCTACTACTACTGCATCATTATTGTCATGTACATACATATATACATTTATTTATAAACAAGAGCTAAGCAAAGAGAGCCTCAAGCAAAATTTCAAGCAAAGCGAGTGGATGCATAATAAAAATTGTTTGCTATTGATTTATTTACGAGTATTGCTTGAAAAGTGTCCTTAATGCATAGATATGTGTAGCGCATAGATAAAAGAAGTAGAAAAAGAAAATTTCTCATCTTCCATTATGTAAAAAAGTTTTGCATTTTTTTTCTTCTTTGCGAACACAACGAAAACTTTACGATCCATTAGATTTATCATTCTGTTCGTGGCAATCAAAAGCACTGCACTAGAGAGATATTCACTCAATCGTTTGTACGCTTATGTTTTTGGACCTGACCTCTGTCGCAAACCGTTTTCAACGTTTCAAGATGTTACTCTTAATAATATACTAAGGGTTAGGGCGTAATTTTTTTAAAACCTGAGAATCTGCTAAAAGATATGTTGCCTTCTAACGTTAATTTGGGGCATCGAGTCTTAGATGTTTTGTGTCAACGTAGCACGTATTCCTACATTCATCTTCACTTTGTTACATGTTCTTTTGTATTGCGCAGTGAGCGTAACGCCTATGACTTAAATACATCAAAGCACTGCATAGTGCTCGGGCAAGTGGAACTGTAGTAGATTACGAAAGACTTTATATTCTTCTCTCTTCTTATATGTGCACTCTGCACAATCAAATTTTCCTGAACAACCTAGTAATCGGTATATATATATATATATACATATGTATGTATATACAAGCAAACGATATGAAAAATTGCTAAGCGATCGGCCTTAGAGCCTTTTTGTGCAAATTTTCTTATTTCTAAAAATTCTATGGATGCAGCTTCATGCTGTTAGTGCACTATAGTTTTTATGGTCACTTATGCGTTGTTTATCCTCGTCACTTAGCATCCCACTTTTCTTGATATCCGATTCCGTCAATGCAGTTTACTTGTATTTTTAGCTATGACCTCTCACACTTCAGTTTTGTTCTTGTTATACATTTAAAGGCAATTTCATCTGCCATTGCCTTCTTTACTCTCTCTCACTTTAGGTTCTGTACAGATAGTGTTTCTAGTAAATACACATGCATACATATGAGCAGATATTGGAATAGTGGTAATGTAGTGTAAGAAACTAAGGCTTATAAACTTATGCGCCTGTTTTTGACACTTAATATCCCTTTTAACTGTTCTTGTCATTTTAGGCCATTTCATCTTTGCTTCGTGGTATGCATTTTATTTTTTACATGGATTGCTATCTTTATACATAATATACACTTTCTTATGTGACATGTTATACTTCTTTTCTCCTTTATTTATATTTTCTTTTTCTTTACTACAATTCACTCGTATTGCTTAGTATTGCCTTTTGAATATTTAATGCAATTTTCATTTGATTATTTATGAGCATCATAACCCAAAATATTAAAAAATCTAATCTGAAATTTGGGTGAAATGGAAAAACAATTAACTGGAAGCCCAAGCAAGCATTTTTGCTTATTGTTAATATTGAAGAAACTAAGGATAATAAGTTAATGCAGGAAAACTTAAAATCTCCAAATACTTTTGGTTCCAAGCAAGTCATGGAGACCGTGCTTCTTCGTTAATCCAGCATTGAAGTTATTTTTAGTAAAAACTTTCACTTTTAGATTAAAAGCTTTTCAATAATATATGAAAATCGAAAATTAGGTGAATAAACAATTCGCCCGGAAATTATTACCAAATAGCTACAGATGTATAAAAAAAGAAATATAAAATATAAATAATAGATTTAAGTGTAATTAATACCGTTTTTGTTTTTTCTTATTGGAAAAATTTAAATGAGAATATTATTCATTTTACGTTCAATGCATCTGCGGACGGAATGAAAAAACGAGACAACAATACAAAACCTTTACAATACAGAGTTGCAATAATATACGATACAAAATTTCTAAAAGCATTGCAAAGTGTTTTACGACATAAAGTTCGATATAACAATATATTTGTTTAATAAGCAAACAAGACTGATTCATTAAAAGGCTTCGATATTAAAATGTGTTTAATGTATGAGTTTTGTATATTAAGCCCGGTTAAATGTTGAAAATTATAAAAAATCATAAACGGGTTTATCCCGTTTTTTTTATTTCAATCCACTATTCTTACTCTAATTTAATAGCGCGGTTCACGGCTACCTTTATTAAAATAGGGTAACCCTGAAAAGAAGATTAATTTGAAAATCAAGTCAGTTGCTCAGCACGTACGCATCCTTTATATTGGAAGTACCCTTTCTTTTTTCTTTCGAAAAAAAAAAAAAAAATTTAAATTCATTCACTTCTCTCTTATATACCAAAAAAAAAAGAGGAATAGATAATAATAATAATAATTTAAATTTAAAGGAACTACCAAAGAAGGCACACCAAAACTTGTCATTTCACAGCAAGCAAAGATGAGTGAGAAATACGAGACATCACCAAGGTACGTATAAAAAAATTAATTTTTTTTTTACATGCATTAAATAGTGCGCGCTTGTCATGCACTTCAGGGCCGCAAATAGTTCAACTCAAAAAAAAGCGCGGACGCTCGCCCTACCATATCGTCAAAATTAATATTAATGTAAGCAAGCAGCGTATACTTTAAGAATTAAAAATGAACGTGAACAACCAATATGATGATGAAATTAATGTAAAGATATTTTATTTTATTTTTTTTTTTTGTGTTGTTCAGTGTAATGTAAAGATAAATAGGCATTTTAATTGGAAAACTCATTCTTCTTTTGCAAAGTTAATTGAAGATAAAATCGAAGAAGATATCGTTAATTGATCAATGTCCCCTATTAGCACCAACAAGTACATGCTTCTGACATTCATGAACATGCATCCATAAACCAGACAGGCTCCCTACCTCGCTTTTTAGCAGGTAATAAATTCACGATCGCTTTATTACTTTTTGTTTAACATCGTATCTAAATATATCAAACTTACAGTTGTCACCAAAGACTACAAAAATTTATATGATATATATATATATAAATATGTATGACATACATAGATGTTTTTCACGAAAACAAGTACAAAAACTAGGTACCGTTAATTTACCGTTTAAGATTTTTTTTTTCTATTGGCATATTTTGGGTGTATGTAGACTCTTTATGTTTTTTATAGGGTTAATGTACATTTTTCATTTACAACTTTATCTTAAATCAAATAAAATAAATAAAAACTTTAATACAAATTTTTGTGTCTTAAGAAAATATTAGGTATAGTCGTCGCAGAGGGCTTCAATTCTAAAATATTTATATTATACATTATATTTTGTATTCTCACACAGTGTGGACGCTAAAGATTTAGTACCTAACTTCGACGCTGACGCAATGGCTAAGACGTTCCAGCACCCTGACTATTGTCATACTTTTCTTGACGCTTTAAATAAAATGCGGGTGAATCAACAGGTAAAAGAGAAACCGTATAACCGAACCTCTATTCATAGTAGCATAACTATTTAATTTTACAGCATTGTGATTTCTGTTTGGATGTAAAGGGCGAAAAGATCTATGTTCATAAAGTGGCACTTATTTTTGTGTCACCTTACTTCGCAGCAATGCTTAACAGTAAGTTTTTCCAGAGAGTTGTTAAAACAAGCATTCAATAAAGACCAATATTCTGAATACTTTTTAGGTGATATGCAAGAAAAGGCATCAGGTTCAGTAAAGTTGCAGGAAGAGGACGCAACTATTGTGAAAGCGCTGGTCGAATACATCTACACCGGGATAATTACGTTGACTGAGAGCAATGCTCAATTGATGCTTTCGGTAGCAAACTTATTTCAAATGAAATGGCTAAAGGAGCAATGCGGACAATTTCTTAAAAGCCAAGTAAAGGCGACAAACTGTTTTGAGATGCGAAGTTTTGCGGGTAAGTAAGTTTTAAAACTCTGGCGATATTGTTCAAGCTAAAAATATTTACTGTCTTTCAGATGCGTATTCTTGTAAAGAGCTTTTTGATTATAGCCAAACTTATATCTTACAGCATTTTGACGAAATCATTTATGCCAAGGAATTTTTATCGCTTCCTTTCGAAGAGGTATGTAAACAATTGATATAGGAATTAAAATACTTGCGCTTTTGATTCATTGATTTGATAAATTGGGGAGCTTACCCTCTCAGTTGTATGAGCAGAATGTGACCTGCGTGTCTTACAATTCGTTATGCGTAGATAGCGCACTTTGAAGTTAAACTTTCAAATAATGCGACCATCACATTTGTTGCAAGCAAATTGGCGTTGATCACGACGCGCCACAGTTATTAATATCGCAGAAAATACCGTAGGTCCAAATTGAATTTAGTTTGCATTAGTATGAAGGGAGAACCGACACGACATGAAATAGAATTTTAATAAGTGCAATATGAAACCGTTTAATTTAAACGAAAGCTTCATAAACATGGCCTACAGCTTATTTTTATAGTCCCTCGTATTTACGTCAGGCAAACAAATTGGGAGAATCGCTTAGCATTGTCTTGGCACTGTCAAATCTTCAAATTATTTGTTGTGTTCTGCTATGCATTACTTGATTGAAAACTCTTCATTTTTCGTGTGTTAATACCATTCCAAATGTTCTTAAAAAACGTTGTAATCTGGACTATCATCACGAGAACCTAAACTGGTTAGTTTCGCTCTAAATGTTTAGTAAAGAATACAATACTGGGGACCGTCACTCCGGTGAAGGAAATAGAGCGGAAAAACTACAATTCTCTTGCGCTAATCTACTTTGTGGTATTTACGTTACAGAAGCCGCTAACTTAAGCAAAATTGAATATAGGTTTAGAATCCCCTTTTTATTTTGCTTTGTTTTTTTTTTTTTGGAAATTGTATCAAATTTCTTTTTTTAAGGATCTATGTAATTATAAACATCATTTTGGTCAATGGCCGATGAAATAAGTCAACAAAAAAATTTTGCATTGAAAACTAAAGCTATTCGCATTATGTTGGTAGCTAGCGTTTACCTAAAATTTTTGATACAATTTTACAAATGGTTTCTTTTTGCTCAAGGATTTTAAAACCTTATGAAAAGGTGTATCTTTCATCTAGTGTCGTTAGACAAGCAGTACATGCAAGTCCAAATTGGAAATCCTTATCAATCACAAGTCGATGCGAAAAGAAAGAAAAAAACTGCATCTTTCCTACTCAAAGTTGACACGTAATGCGGATATGCTTTACTCCATATATTTTTGATTAAAAACTGACTGCAAACATCTTTTTCATTCCATATCAATATAATTTGTAATTTTTGAAAATATTCCAGATCGAGAAATTAATAATAGATGAGAACACTTCCGTTAAATTCGAAGACAATGCATACAAAGCTGTAATAAAATGGATTAAACATGATCTGGAGGAACGTAAAGTTCATCTCGGAGAATTAATGGGCCATGTTCGACTGCCTTTTGTTAGATCTGAATATTTAAGACAACACATAATTAGTGAACCTTTGCTTAGAAGTGATCAAGAATGCAGCCAAGTCCTTGTTGAAGTCTTAAGCTATAAACTAACGCCAGTGAGCGAAAGAAATTCTTTACGTCAGTTCAAAACAAATCGTAATGAAAAGTTTCATGTATTGCTCGCCGGTGGTCGCACTCAAACCGCACGAAATTTAAACATAATTTATGATGTCTCCGAGAATAAGGTAACTTTGAATGAAGACATGATGGAGACCAGATGTGAAAACTCTGCAATCTTTTTAAACGGCGTGGTATATTCAGTAGGTGGATATGGTTTGGAAAGATCTGGATTCAATGTTGGAACGTATGATTCGAACACGGCAGAACGTTACGATATGTGCAAAAAACAATGGAGTTACATTTCATCTATGAGTACTGCGCGCAGTCACTTTGGAATATGCACTTACAACGATCGTGTCTACGTTGTCGGTGGAAATCAGGTTTCAAGTGTAGAGAGTTATGATCCTAAAACCAACGTTTGGACCATGTGTGCAAGTACTCCTGCAACATATGCTAATGGCAACCGCATAGCAGTCGTAGGAAATAGCATTTACAGTATGGGATGTGAAGCTTCGTTAATTCGATTTGATCCGAGAGAAGGCCGATGGAATAATTTGGGTGAAGCCTCAAGAGATCTGCAAACACAGTTTGAGCTGGTCTCTTATGATCATTCCTTGTTTCGCATTGCGTTGAATTGTGAACGCTTTGACGTACGAACACATAAATGGGAACCGATGCCTTCTATGCCCTTCCAGCTATCCGCTCGCGCGGCGGTGATGATCTCCGATGATATTTATATAATAGGCGGATATAAAAATGAACGCTATAACATACATGATAATGAGTGGACAACAGTTGATTCAACCGAATTTACATTCTGCGACGGAGGAGCAGCTGTAATCAAAGACACTTGATTTGAAGAATGAAGACCGAAAATATCTTTCTCTCTTTACTCTAATGCAAACAAACAAGCGAAAAAGAAGATAACTGCAACATCAGACATGAATACTTGAGTTTTAAACGAAAACAAAAAAACATAATCTCAGCTCAATTTAACTAATTTTTATCATTTATTTGCACAAAAACTCCTAATAAATAGTTTGTCTACAAGAGAAATTTTTTTGAAAATTGTACTTCTTGCAACATATTCACTATTTCTTTTTTTTTTTTTTCTTCAAATTGACGTCTTGTCAAGTGATTTTTTCAACATCAATAATATATGTTTTTGGATAAAAGCGTCCCCTGGTATCATATAAAAGCAGTCATATACAAGGATTGAACATTAGAAATGTCTTAGGTTGCGACGAGTCTGATGAAAAACGAAAGCTTTATTCGAAAAAATGCCCGTAAAGTTTTGTAACTAAGAGAACAGATAAATAAAAAAAGCTTTATATTTTAATTGATGCTTTTCTTTAATGGCGCATCAACTGAAAACTTTTTTGGAAGGAAAAATTTAAAACTCTGAAAAACATCTTATTTTCATTTTCAATAATTGAAGCTAATAAACTCATGGGCAAAGAGGCTAAAAGCATCGGTTCAATTTGACCTATGATGCGTGTATATCTACATAACTCATTAAATTCAAAATTTTATTGTTTACTACCCCGTTTGAAGGTCCAAGCCCGATTGTATTTGTAACGGGCAGAAGCTCGTTAAAATATTGTCATTGTGTATTTTTTAGCATTTTCAGAATTTTTTTTTTTTAACATCCCTGATTTTGATATTTCCGTTAAGTATAATTTTTACAGCATTCCAGACGTTGTTGGCAAACGCGTTTATATTGAATCACATATTAATGAATATTAATAAATCACATGTTACTAACAAATAATAATAAATAAATTTTGCGTTTATTTGCGCATCAAAATCTTTAACTGTTCTGTTAAAATATATGAAACAATTCTTTGAATTTGACAGCACTTTTCTTGTTATTTGACAATTTATTAGTTGCACCATTTTTCACAAAGATGGCCGCGTTTTACTAAAACAAGTAAATTTTATTCACTTTGCTAATTAAATAAAAATTGATTTTTGTAAGAATAATAATAATAAATGAAGAAAATGTATTAATTTTAGATTAAATTTTATCTAGCAATTATTTAAAATAATGTGAGCATATGAAAGAAAATGTATCGAAACGTAATAATGTGCAAAAGATGTTCATGTACGGCCGCTTTCACAATGAAATGAACGGGAGAAAATTGTGTTGCAAAAGGGTGGGTAGGAATACATAAAGTGTGCAAAATTTCTTAACATTGAAAGATACATTGCTCGAATGAAGAAAAAGCAAACCGAATTAGATTTCTAAATCAAAAAGGAAATATTTGAAGTTTGTGTGAGAAACAAATTTTGAAAATGATGCAATATAAAAGTGCTACCGCTAATCCGGCAGGATCAGCGGCGGCCTCGACAGCCGCTTCACAGACAGGACAACAAGTTCAGCAGCAGCAACAACAGCAATCACAATCGACTAATATATCTACACCCATAAAAGGCACATTTGTCCAACCATCCGCTGCGGCTGCAAATGTAATAAATGCTGCAAATCAAGCAAATCAAATACCTTTGTCTCAGATTATTAATTTGCAACAATTGCCACAACAATTTGTACAAGCAGCAACAGCCCAAGCTGCCAATCAGCAAGCTCAACAATTGCCACAAAATATGTTTCAAATTGTGCAGCCTATGCAAACAGTAAATATTGACGGGCAAGAGGCAATATTTATACCGAATCTTAATGCGCAATTAACTACGGCTCAACCGGTGAGTATTAATGGACAGCAGGCGTATATCACGCCCAACGGTCAAATTGTTCGAGCACCACAGGCAACTGCTGGACCTACCGCTGTGCAATTGCAACCGGCTGCACAATTTATACAAGGATTAGGTCAAACTGTGCAACTGCCGACTAGTTTCAATGGAACGGAGCAAACATTATTTACTATACCAGGGACGAATATACAGATACCAGTTGCAACTGCGAGTTCTCAACAACAACAATTTCAACAACAACAGCAACTGCAACAATTGTTACAGCAACAACAGCACCAGCAACAACAACAGCAGCAAAATCAAATGCAGATGCAACAAAACGCGAACGCAGCAGATGGCAATAACAGTGCTAGTGTTTCCCAATCAGGTACAACAGTTGCTACTACTTCGTCGACGCCGTCGATTAATTCAAATTCTGGAAATGGTTCGACTGCAACTAGTGTCACCACTGCCAATTTACCCGCATCCATAACCATTCCAGGAACAAATATACAAATACCGACTTCGGTGGCAGCTGCCAACGGTTTACTAGGTAACTTAAATCATCCACTATTAGCTAGTGGCGCAGCGATTAAATTGGAAAATGGTCAAACCTTGCAAAATATACAAATACGTCCTTCAGGACCGGGTTCGGCAAGTGGCCCTACTCAATTACAACAAATTGTGCAATTTCCCCATTCCATCCAGCAAACACAGACGGTTCCACAGCAGTCCACATTGCAGCAGACGACAGTAGCTGTACAAGTGCCTATACAGACTGGTGTAGGAGGTCAGACTATTTATCAAACAGTTCATGTGCCTGTACAACAATTGGGTACCCCAGGGGGTATGCCGACTGCTAATTTATTATCAGCTCAACCACTTCCCATGCCCCAAATAATACCACAGTTCACCCAAATTGCACAAATTGTTACACCAAATGGTCAGATACAGCAGGTGCAATTAGCTCCGTTGAATGCTTTAGGTCCGTATCAACAAATCCCTGCTAATGCTAACATTATACAAATACAAAACACTGCTCAACAACAGGCTGCCGTTCAGCAACAACAGCAGCAACACCAACAACAAGTTGTAGCTCAACAGCAAGCGGTCGCCGCGCAACAACAAGCTCAACAACAACAACAACAGTTGCAGCAACAATTGCAGCAGCAACAGCAACAAATTATACAGGCGATTAATGCGGCGAACGAATCTGGCGCGCAAATACCCACCAATCAACCGATAACTATAACCAACGCTCAAGGTCAACAGGTTACCGTAATACCCGCACAACAATTACAGCAACTACAAAGACCCCCTCCCCCGCCCACCAACACACAGGTACAACCTGCCCATAACCTAATACAACTGCAACAAATTCCAGGATTGCAAGCTCTACCCATTCAAAATATCCCAGGTATAGGGCAAGTTCAAATTATTCAAGCATCACACTTGCCGCCAAATTTGCAATTAGGGAGCTTGCAACAAGTTCTTGCGGCTGCGCCAACACAATCCAGTGCGACTCCATCAGCGGCTCAAACGCAGCCACAACAACAACAAACATCAAATGTTTCTGTTCCTGCGACGGCAGCGACAGCAGCGGCCCAAACGCAACCTCATTCAACATCCTCCTCACAATCGCAAGCGAATGTCAGTAGCACCAATGTAACTTCCGTTACATGTTCTCAACCTTTACAGCTGCAAACCTCTGAAAGCGCCGTCAGCAATAATCAACAAGCTAATAATTTGCAACCCAAGCAAGAGCCGCAATCTCCAACACAAATGGCCCAAACCCTATTGGCAAACGTGACAACGACAACGGCTAATATAAAACAAGAACCACCAGATAGCCACAGTAGTGGCACACAAATTAAATGGCTTATGCCGCAAACCGCAGCAACAGTGACACAGGTGATTAGAGGTCAAAGCCTTAATCAAACGAAAATCTCCTTTTAAACCCACGAATTTCTTACAGATATCACAGCAACAGCAGCAGCAGCAAAGTCAACAGCAACAAACTACATTACAACAACTACAGCAACAACATCAGCAACAACAAGTTCTAGCTAGTTTAGAAGAATTGGCCATACCAGTAAGTATACCAGCTTCATTGCAAATAACACCCGTCCTGCCACAACATCAGCCATCTACTCCGCAATATGGTTTAACAAACGCTCGAACCACAATGAAGCCGCAGGTTACCACACAAGCATTGACAGCCGTACCATCAAGCAGTGCGTCAACTACTACTATGACTAGCGGATCTGGGGCTACCCAAATCACTATAGCTACCACGACTACGAATAACACAGCTAACAATAGCAATAACTCAGGTGGCTTGCAGTTGTCGTCTGTTTCAGCAGGGCAACAGCAACAACAGCAACAACAACAAACTACATCTAACCTAATGACCTTACCGCCACCACCGCCACAAACGTCGGTTAATGTTAACATTAATTTAAATGAGCCGGGTGCTCTCGGCATTAAGCCGCGTCTGAAACGGGTAGCCTGTACCTGTCCCAATTGTACTGATGGCGAGAAAAATCACAACCGAAAGAAACAGCATGTATGCCACATAAAGGGATGTAACAAAGTCTACGGGAAAACGTCTCATTTAAGAGCTCATCTAAGATGGCATACTGGCGAGAGACCTTTCGTATGTTCGTGGCTTTTCTGTGGTAAGAGATTTACACGTTCAGACGAATTACAGCGGCATCGAAGAACTCATACAGGCGAAAAGAAATTTCAATGCCCACAATGCGACAAGAAATTTATGAGAAGTGATCATCTTTCAAAACATATTAAAACTCATCTAAAAGCCCGTTCACCCCTCCAATTAGTCGAAGTTGAACATATCAAGCAAGAAACTCAGGAAATTATTAAACAAGAAGCGCAGGACGCTACGGCAGCACGTACCGGTGGCAATGTTAATGCAACTACAACAACAACAACCGTTTTAGGATCAACGGGTGCAACCGATGGAAATGTATTGAATTCGAATGCAATGTCATCAAATGACCCGAATACTGGTATAGGAAACATGAAAATGGACACCAATTCATCTGCTGGTAATATGCAGGACAATGCTGTTGACCAAGGTGATAGCTATTGTGAAGAAGATGACTGTGAAGATGAGTACGGTGAAGATATGTATGAAGATGATAGCGGAGACGATGAAGAGCGAATGACTATTTCTCTTAATGAATTTACCGAAAATTCTAACTAGCACGAGGCCGATCTGTTCATGGAACAGTTTTTAATGGACGAATTTGGAGTCTAAAGACAATACGACACAGGCCGCCATCAAAATATTGAAATATTGATGTGAAGGCACTCTACGCGTAGGATATAAAAAGAAATTAAATTTAATTAATTAATTCCAAGAAATGGAATTTTAACGAACATTTTTTTTTTTTTTTTTAATAGCTTAATGTTCATAGTCGATTAAGTGTATACAGTTTTTATATGTTTACAATATGTACAGTAGCAAAAATTATAAGCATATATAAGCACTCGGTATAAGAAGAGCCCAGTATTGGTAGTTGGCATTTTTTATGAAAAACAAAAAGAAAGGAGAAGATGATATCATTGAACTTTAATGGTTATTATTAGGAGAAAAGTACACTTAATTAAGTGCTTGTAAAGTACTTTTTTTTCTACTTTATATATTCGGGTACATAGGTGTTTATTTTTTATTTTAGTTTTTCATGTAAATAAAAAAGGAGTTTAAATATAAATTTCGTGTTCTTTTTTTAATGTTCAATTGATTGCATACACCAGATGTTTGAATGAAATTCATTTTTTATGTAAAAAAAAAAAAAGAAGAAAATCATGTTAATTATAAAATAATCAAGGGTTCTTTTTGCAAGTTTTTCAAAATTTCATTCAATATTGTTAATTATTTTTACATATGTTTATATATAATTTTTTATTTTTTTTATTTTTTGAAAATTTTAATAATACGATGGTAAACTGAAAGTAATTATATATATATGCAGGCAAATATTATTAGACATTAACAACTTAAAATTTATGCACAATTAAATATAAAGAAAATAAATTAAAAAATTCTAATACAAAAAATTACAAATAATTTGATTTAAAAGACGATTACTCTTACATCGTAAACATTTTTTTTTTCATATTTTTTATAAAGAGTTTTTTCTTTTTTTTCACTAGAATTTGTCCTTGAGGCAAGACGTTTCCATTAAATATCTTCAAATTCACGATATTCGAATTGTAGACAAACGGTCGATTTACAATAGCATTCTTAACTAATCCATTATTAGATTGTTTTATATATGAATTATGGAATTATTTATTCATTACTTCTATATTCATCCTGTTTTATCGTACATGCTGCCGAGGGGACGAGGCTTTCAGGAAACTTATATATTTCTTCTGATGAAAAATCTCGTTAGCAGCGTTCAAGTAGTAAAATTATTATTTAGTAAGGGGCGCTTTGTTTACTTTTAAAGAATTTACGAAGATTGCTTGAATTGTTGTTGTGCAATTTATTTAAGTGCTAAAACAATTACAAGACAACAAGAGAGCGAAAAAACTTAAAATGAGCACAATTAATGTGCGTTTTGTGCGACGAACATGCGCGAAGGCGCATTCAAGCTCAAGCTTAAAGATTTCCTGAGTTGTTGTTGTGCAATTTATTTAAGTGACAAAACAATTGCAAGAGAACAAGAGAGCGAAAAAACCTAAAATAAGTACAATTAATGTGCGTTTTATGCGTCGAACATGTCTGAAGGCGCATGCAAACTGAAGCTTGAAAGCTACAAGCTTCCATGTTCGCAGCAGTTAGTGGGCAAAATAAATTTTACTGTGAGAGTAGAATGAATATAACAGAGTAACCGTCTATATTTGTTTACAATTGTGAATAATTGAGTCTGCGTTTGTTTACTAACAGCTATTGCATGCATAAATTTCTCAAACATCTGAGAGCAATCGTCTATATTTCAGGAGCATCTGAGAGTAAGCGTCTATGTTTGTTTACAATTCTCAATAATTGAACATGTATTTGTATAAAAATTGCCTGCATGCGAGAGTAAACGTATAAAAATTTGCCTGAAGTCGCCCACCTGCACGTCGGTCAATTCATCCGTCCTCTCTATTGTATCAAAAACTTCTGTTAAGAATAAAAGGGGAACAGAGTTGCTCTTAATAAATAACAGCGCTTTGAATGAACATAAATAAAAAGAATACGAAATTGATCACATGTTCACAGTTTGAACAGTTTTCTGTTAAACATTAAAAAACGGTTAGACCTCTGCTAAACATTAAAAAAAAGCCAGATCTCTAGTAAGCATAGAAAGCTTAGATGATAAAATCGCAAAACTTAAAAAAGGAGCTCGCCAAAAAATCATTACATACTATCGGCTGGTTTCTCTTGCTGCCCTATTTTGGACATTAAGTTGGATTGCATCACCAAATTCGCAAAAGTTATATATATATATATATTTATATATATATAATTTATTTAATTTATGAATTACATAAATAAATATAAAAATCACATGATCAATGTAGTCGGCCCACGTATTATCTAATGCGTGCGGTGTCATCGTATACCAAACGTATTTAACTCTATGATGCGAACGATGGGAACGATGGTAGAGCCAAGTTTAGTATTCCATTTCGATTTTGATCATAACTCATGCAAGTGTGGTTAGTAGTCATTTGTAGAAGGTATTTGTTTGGTTAGTACTCATTTGTAGATGGTATTTTGATCATAATCCATGCAAGTGCGGTTAATAGTCATTTGTAAAAGGTATTGGTGTGGTTAGTAGTAAGAATACGGTTCAATGTACTTAAACATCCCCGTTTTTTAAATTATTATTGCATTTCTGTCTGATGAATTTGACAGTCTTTTGAAGTAGCTTTCGTAGCTTTGGTAACTTTGTATTCCGAAAGAAAGAATTGAGAAGAAAGGAACGAGTTTTCTTCAATTTGCAGGCAAAATTAATTTAAAAATAAGTTTTAAAAGTGTAATGTATTAAGTGTTTATTCAAGTTGATTAAGAATAACTTTTACACTTAAAGTTATTAAATATTTGCTTTTAATTGTACAAAGAAAAAAAAAAAAAGACGAAAATTTTGTAAAAAAGACGGCGAACAAGTGAAATATAGAAAAAGGAGAAATTCAGGAAAAAAAAAAAGAATTGTAAAGAAGATAATTATAGTTTTTTCTAGTACTGGAGGTGATTTTTCCTTTATTTGTATGATGTTACTTGTAAAATGAGCGCATTGCATGTTTTGATTTTTTTGTGTTTTGTTTGCTTTTTGCCTTTGCTAGAAACTTTGTATAAATCTGCTTAGTTTGTTTACATTTCGGTAAATTTTGCAAATGTTGCGTTGGAAAAGTTTTCTTTGCTCTCCTTGTTGTATTATTCTTTCTTAGTTTGTTTTGTATCGTTGTATATTAGCAACATAAAATGCAACGCTGCATTAGTGATATTACATACAAATATAATGAAATTTGAGCAAGGGGTAAATAAAAAAGTGTGGTTAAGCTGAAAGAAACAAAAGAAAAGCACAAATTGTTTTCATTTAACGCAATATTTATTTTCATAGTTAATATAAATAAATAAAATAAAATCTAAAATGATAAACTAAATAAACAATTGATGAATTTTATTTAGAATCTAAAATAAGATTATAAAAATTTTAAAAGCAAATCAAGTGCTATCTCTTTGCTAATAGTTTCAGAAAGTTGCAATAAAGTGGTGCTTAATATTTATTATGGACATTGAACATTTTTAAAGAAATTTTTATTTTATAATTCAAGATTAACAAGAGTTTGTTCGAAACTAGTGAAAATACAAAGAAAATTTTGTATTCAAGTGAACATTTTTTATATACGTGCGTTTATAGTTTCTTTAGACAACTGGGGTAAAAGTGGATGCCGTCAGGTTGGCTTTAACACAAGAAAAAGAATATATGTTTATGTTCGATATATTAATTTTAGAATTTTTTTTACTTGCTTCCTAATTTAACAATTTATGAATTTTAAGTAAAGCATTATTTGTATTCCTAATTTGTTTTTGCTCAAATTCCCTTTCCCTGCATTTAATATATATGTTTTTTTGCAATATTGACTGCTATCTTTGTTTATGTTTGTATGAAGTCGTCTTGCTTCTTTGCTGTTTCTCAATGCAATACTGAGTATTAGTTAGTTTCTTGTACTTTTTTGCACGATTTCATTATGTGGTCTTATTTCGCCCCCACCAACGTTACTGTTACTGTTTTGCTGTAGTATTTAACTTTCTTTTATTATTTTAGCTTGAGCTTCCAAAGGTTCATTCACATTATATTTAGGACAAACAGTAAACATTGTTTATTGACCAAATCAATGAAAATGACTAGAGGTGAACATACATTTTTATTTTGCAATACTTTGAAAGCGAGAACATCAACATTTTATATCTATTTGGTTACATAAATAGTTAATATCAAGAAATATTTACTAAAATTTACCAAATTATTGAAAGAAGTAATGACACGTTGATGAACATTAAATCTTATATTGTTTTATATACGTATTTAGATGCGTGTGTTCTTTGAAAGCATTCTAACTAAAGAATATTTCTGCTCGGCATCATCGAATTACATTATTTGCAAGTTTAGAAATTTAAAAAATTATCATTAATGCTGCAAAGCAATGAACACATATTTATTGTTTAGTAACATACCATAGAAGGTTCAGAATGGAAAGAGGAAATTATGTTCAATTGCAGCAAAAACTTTTGTATGCACCTTCGTTTTAAAAATAAATAAATAAAAGTAAGAACGTTATATTCCGCTCGGGCTGAATCTCGCATACCCTCCACTATACTTTTCGCATTCCATGTTCTTTTATTTGATACCCATATCGTTAGTATTATTGCAAAAAAATTATTCCACCAGATCGCGGTATCTACCAAATTCATTTTAGAATTAACCCATTTTTAGGCAGATAATATATCTTGATTTGAGAAATGTACAAAACAGCTTTAAGCATTCTATCTCGTCTGCCTTATGATAGATAAGCATAAATCTTTAAAAAAGTGAAAATAAGATAATTTAAGCACTTGTAAGTTTATGTGGGAAATGGACGATATTTTCCATTTTTGCACTCAAAGTAAATATGGATAATTTCAGCTTTGTAACTTTTATAATTTCTGAATAACAAGCAAAAATCCATAAATTTTTGTTAAAAAAAACGAATTGCGTTCAGTTTATGCTCTACTGCGGGTTTCTGTTCTCTTCAATTTGGCCAACTTCCCATGTTTCTACCAAATTTGAAGTCGATATCTTAATTCTTGCGACCAAAAGAGTGCCAATAACACACATCACGCAGACGGACAGACATGGGTAATTCAACTTAGAATGTCGCGCTGATCAAGCTGAAGCTTCCTTTTGGATGTTACATGTATTATGAAAAAAAAAAAAAAAGAAAACATAATACGCTCCTATCTTACATTGGTGGGTATAAAAATGAAATTTATATATAATATTGGGGTGACGAGACCGATTTTTTCTAAACTTTTTAGAGGTTCCGTAGGTTCACCTATAAAAAAAGTTTGTCTCGCCACATCTGTGCTTTCTTAGTAACGGGCAAAGAAAACAATTTTTTTTTTCTTTTGATAAATTAATTGCTAAGAAATTTAAAGTTTCTTTCGAGGCGAATACAGTTTTCCTTACCTATTTGTTTCCATTAAATAAAAAGTGTAGTATTTTACTATTTAAATAAAAAGTGTAGTATTTTACTATTTATATCTCTTTTTATTTATATGCACGGAAGTCCAACAGGTCGAGTTAAATACTGAACTATGCTTTGATTTTGATGCATTGAATAGTTTTCTTTAGGAA